CCTCGGATCCTGTGATGACCTCAGATTCTGTGACGACTTCAGATTCTGTGACGACCTCAGATCCTACAACACCCTCGGATCCTGCAACGACCTCAGATCCTGCGACGACCTCAGATCCTGCGACGGCCCCAGATCCTGCAACGACCTCGGAACCTGCGACGACCTCGGATCCTGCAACGACTTCGGATACCGCAACAACCTCGGATCCCGCAACAACCTCAGATCCTGTGACGACTTCCGCTCCTTTGACAACAGCTGATTCCTCAATAACCCTGTCATCTTCGCCTAGGTCGACATCTCCGAACACCTTGGCATCCACACCCCTGTAGTCTTCGACCAACTCTACATCTTCAGCAATTTCTTCCACCGATTTTGCCTCAAAGCTTTCTACGTCATCTACTTTATCGTTAACCTTGACCACTATATAACGCCAACTATGATTCCTATTACTAGAAACAGTCGGCAAAATGGCACTGATCCTCACATTTTGATTTTCCAAAATCATTTATCAAAAGGATAATGATTTCAAGAAATGTTTCCTTTCTTATTTTCCGTCATGCTTATTTCACGATAGTTTTATTATTAAATGTCGCTTTTCCTGTCTGTCTTCAAACCAAAACTGTCTTCTAACCCTCTGATCTATTTACTAATCTTGTCTTTCGCTAAATTTTACAAACTACGATTATGATCTTGGGGACGAAAATATGAAACTTGAATTCCTGCAAGGGAAGTGGGACTTGTTGGTACTATAATTATGTGAATAAAGGATTGCGCAGAATTCTGGGGAATTAGCGAAAAAGGCCTACAAAGTCAGGGAGTGCATTCTAGTGTCTCAGCCGTGTGATTTGGCCCTGAAAAAAAACGAGTCAGGAAGACAGTAAACAAACCCCGTCGGAGCGAAGGCCCAGACTATGAGACGCTGCACGTTCGATCAGCCTGTGCACGTTGGTCCCCACGGAATACGATGTCGTCGACAAGCAGATGTCGTTGGTTGACCCCTTTGGGTGAAAACAACCAGCGCAGGCAGAGACGCTTGAGAAGTTCAGTAGTGCGGTACTGTCTGGTGAAATTTTTCGAGGGGACCAGTCAGGTTCGGCGATCTGTCACGTTGTCCGTTACTGCTGACGATGGTTGAGCGGCTCACTCAGGAGAAGGGCGCAGTGGTTGACGTAGCTAGTGACCTCGTCTGAGCGTGCCACGTACGCGACCTGCCCTCCAAACACATGCATCCGGACTTCAAACAAAAAAGGGTTTGGGCGGCATATATCTCACATGAGTGAGAATGTCAGAGGTCACGTTCATGAGGAGCCCTTTCAGCCTAGCTGTCAGTTCACAAGTTAGTCACTTCGCACAAACACGCACTGGACTGACTACGAAATCCGAGTTCCATCGTCAGTTGGCAACTTTCCAAGCCACAATGCTTTGTGCACCGTGGTAGTCTCAGGCTCGGATTACAGATGCAGCAGAGAAGCCACCCGGTGAAGGAGCCGAGAAGCTCCAGCTTCCAGCTTTTGTTGGAGGTGTCAGTGGTGTACTTGCGTTGTGTGGTGAGTGGTGTTGTAGGTGGAGAGAGATTTGCTGGCATGGTGCAGCCACCGGTGTTCTACCGCAAGCTTTCACGAATTTGCATGTGGCTGAATAGGCCTGTAAGTGATAAACCCATTAGTTGGGCACAGTGAATAGGCTATCCAGGAAACGAAGATAGCAGTATCCCAACAATTACAACTTAGTAAGTAAGAACAAAGTCGTCAGCAGATAAGAATGCCCCTGCTTGGTCCTCGTCTCATTCAAAGTTGTACCGAGTTATTTTAAAAGGCGCATCATAACTGATTAAAACAAAACGGACTTAAATGTCACTACAATACTCCCCCTCCCAGGAGAACAGAGTTCAAAAAAAGTATTGTTAATAGATGGAAAAGGTGAGAGTGTTATGCATATCGTACAAGTTGGTAACGGTCGGAAAAACGGACATGACGATCGCTGCGCTTAAGGGGAGGAGTCTGTGGAATAAGGAAAGACGCAGGGTAATCGGGCGTAAGTGAAGTCTGGGAAATAGCAGGTAAGAATGGACGTGCTTGGTCCTAGTCTCATTCAAAGTTGTACCAAGTTCTTTTAAAAGGCGTATCATAACTGATTAAAACAAAACGGACTTAAATGTCACCACAGGCCCATGCGGTTGCTGAATGCGCTAGAGCAATGCGGGTAGTTGAGGCAGTGTCGTCTAGTGTACGTGGGTGCTCCAGGCGCTGGTTCGCCAGTCTCTCTCGGTGGATTTGCAAGTGACCGACGAGGCCGAATGTAAGGTCACAAGGAGGATGGGTTGGGACAGAGTTCACATCGCTGG